AGATATCAAGTCTGTATTCTGTGTCCATGACAGTAATAGTAAGACTTCTTGGATTTAGTTGTGAACTTGATCTACACGCTTTTCTCAATTGTACAATTTTTTGGCATAGATTTTACACTTCATTATTGATATCTTCTATAGATATTAAAATAGTACTTCTATGATTGATATTAGAAATATATGTGATTTCCATCCTAAGAATGTTGACAAGATTGTGAAGATCTACAATGGTTATAAATCTATTTTCACTTCTACTGAGAGTATCATATATAACTATGAGCTCTCAATTATATTTTAGAATCTAATTTTATTTTATTTTTTTATTTTATGATAATTGGGCATATTAGATTAGGATTTATATAAGTGGAATCTAGTTTTATAGAATTTTTAGGATTACAACCCTCGATGGTATAAATCATAGCCTAATTTCTTGAATTAGATTAATTAGGACTAAAGTGATAAAAGTTAAAAAATTAGAATAGTAACATAGTTAGTTTAATAATTTAGATGTTGTTAGTCATTACCATGAGGGTTGATTAAAAGCCTATGAGTGCACCTATAATCATTCACATGATTTAGGAGTTGAAATTATAATTCTCTAAAAGATTTAGAAAAGTTAGTAATGATAATTTTGAGTATTTCTCCAAATTTGACAAATTCAAGTGGCATGGTGGTTCTTCTAATTAATGGGAGTCTTTTTAATGCAATGGTGGCACCAGATTTATCCTATAGAGTGAAGAAAACAAGATCAGCACTCTCTCCTTTAATATACAAGTGAAGCAATGAAATTCTCATTTTGAAGAATTTTACAAAAAATTACCAAGATCCTTGTAAGTAAAAACTTCCATGAAAATTATAATTGAGCATGGATTGAGGTATGTGAATAGTTGATCTTCGCTTAAATAGAAGTTTTTAACACAATGGTGAAGTTAGATTTATCAAAAAATTCTTTCTTCACCACTTACAAGAGCCATCAGCCTTAGTAATGAAATTGGCTCTTGGATGAATGAAGGCCATAGATCTAGATTAGAGATCTTAAAAATCAAGGGTGGAAATGTAGCCACCCTTCTACAAGCCTCCATTCAATTGTATTAGACAGGCTTGGTTTTCGAAGCCCTCTCTCTCTCTCTTCTTTTGGATGAAAGGCAAAGCTATACCAAAATTTTACCAAAATCCTCATCTTTATTTTATTTAGATTTTAAAACTCATTGTGAACCTTGTGATTGTATGTGTATGGATTTTGAATTGTGAAGGATGGTCATTGAGTTTTAAAATATGCTTCATTGAGGTAGATAGCTCTTCGGTCTTTCAAATACTCTAAGGGTTTCAAGGGCCTCGGATTTTTGTCAATTAGTCATTCAGTTTCTTTTTTTTCAATGTGAAATTCCGAATGATTGTAGCTTTTGTTGTTAGCTTTCTGATAAGATAAGACTTGCTCGATTTGGAGTAAGAAAGAAGTTTTGGTGAATTTTTGAGTTTGAGGGAGTCGACTACCTTTGCAGTTTGAATCAATGAAGTTTGGAAAGGCATTTCTCAGTGCATGATAATTGGCTTTATTTTAAATTTTGGAAGCATTAAGCTTTATAAGCTAAAATTTGAAAGAAAAAAGTTTTGTTGGATTTGAAGACAATCTGAATTTTTAGTGAATTTCTAAGTGAAGAAGATTGGTCGTCGCGGCAATTTGGATCATTCAACTTCAAAGGAGGAATTCTCACGACTGAATCATTAGATTACAATAAGAATTATTGGATCAGGAGTGTCTTTAAGTTAGCCTTGAAACAAGCTAAGAACCATTTAAATCTAAGTTGATTACAAATTTTAGAAAATTTTGGAGTAGAAGGAGGTTTTTGCCTTCAATCCTTGCTTTTAATTTTAACTTTTAACTTAACCTTTTAATTTTAAATTTTAACTTAAACTTTTAACTTAATTTTTAATTTTTAATTTGTAATTTTAACTTTTAATTCAAATTTAAGTTTTTATTCTTATAATCAATTAATAGTAACAACTTAGTTAATTATTTTTACTATGTTTGCATAATAAATTTTATTTAATATTTTAATTTAATATTGATAACCATTGCTTGGAAGGTGTTAATTTGAATTGAACTACAAACATCCATATTTAAATTAACTCAACAATTTCACAATTGGGAGTCCCTCCATTCTACCCTTTTAACTTGTTGTAAGGCATCAATTTAATGAGTGGTGAATTTGGGGTTCATAATAAATTTTTCTTTTATAGATAACTCAAAACAAATCTATAAGTCAAATTAGAGGAGAGTAATCTACAACCTCTAATACCAAATGAAAATTTTGACAAAGATGGATAATTCACTTTCTTTAAGAAAAAAATCATTGTTAAAAAATAAAAATGTTAGATTGAAAGTGGATAGTTTACAACCTTCAAAATACAACAATAGAAGTAGAATAGTTCACTCACTTCTAAAAACAAGAAAAGAACAATGAATTAATATTCTTGTCAAACTATCAAGGACATGAATCTCAAAAATAAAATCTCAATAAACTCATATGTTATTCAAAAAGATTAAAAAATCACTCAAAACTAATAGTATATTGAATTAGAATAGCTATTATTAAAGATAAGAAGACTAAAAAGTCTTAAAATAAGAATAAAGATTAGAAAGATGTTGACAAGTGTGAAGAAGGCTTTATTCTTACCTCCATATATATTATCTAAGTAAAAACTACGTAGCAACATTCTATAGGACCTCCAACATGTGTCCAATTTGCAAGACACATGTCTTAACTTGCAAGGCAATTTTCTTACATGTACATTACATCATTAGCTTATACTACAAGCTATCAATACATGCAATATGTGGCTAACTTGTTGGATAAGTTTCTAATCTATCAATCACCAATAAATACATATAAAGATGAAACTACGTCTATAAAGCTTTTAGGAAGCTTCTTTATAAAATATTATCAAATTAACATACTTTTATTTATTCATAATATCTAGGTAATTATTAGAATAAATATGTATATCCATGATATAAATAAAACTTTAAGATAAGATCAAATCTTTTCATAATTAAATACTTAATGCATTCAAAGGCTAATTTATATATTAAGCAACAATATTTTTCAAAAAAAATCAAAAAAATCAAAAAACAATCTTAATTTAAAGATACTTTTTATAATTTACAGCAACTTCACTTTTCATCTACCTTAGTACCTTTCTATGCATCAACAATAAAATATATTGAAGTTTTTTTTTACAAGGCATACCTCCAACAACCTCTTTCTTTTCTTTTATAATCACCTCCTCTTCTTCATCCATTTTTTTATCCACATGCTACTTCTATGTCTAATCAATCATATTTCATATACTTCCATGTAGTAATTGTTGCACAAATGGTTGTTTATTACAAATTACATCTATATTATTTGATTACATATGAATTAGTTTGAAATAAGCCAAATGATGTAGCTATACATGAATTAGTGAAAATCAAGTCAATTAACCTAGCTACATATAAATTAGTGTAGGCTTTACTATTTAGGACTTAATAATATTTTCTAATCTACACTAATTACCATAGCTATTATAGTCAAAGGTTTCTACCATCAAATAAAAACTTAAAGATAAGTATAGTTTAAAGAATTTGAAAGAGATTAGAAATTGTTTAGAAATTAAAGTTTTAACAACTCAAAATAAGATACCTTTTCCTCAAAAGTTTTATTGTAAATAAACCCTTGATTATTTTGACATGTCTAAAAGTCTTATCAAAAGTTTTTGTTTCTTATTAAACCTATTCTTAGTTGTCTTTATTTTTTGGCAAAATTGCAATTAAATTTTTGGATTTCTTTTTAATTTGAAAGAAGAAAAAAGATAAAAATTTATAATTTTTTAGAAAACATATTTATATTCTAAGAACAAAAATTTACATATAAAACTTTATTATAACCTGTAGTATAAAAACCAAAAAAGTAAAATAAATTATATTGTATTATTTTATTAGATGATTTTTTAATTTTAAAAAAATACATCTTTTAATGCAATTAATTATAAAATTTTAATTTAAAGTGGAAAAAATATTAATTAATTTAAATTTCATATATCTATTTATTTTGATTGTAATTTTTAGAATTGATATTTTATATTTATATTTATATTTTTTATTTATTTATTAAAAAAATTATACAATAATTAATTTGATGATTTGGATATCATAATATAATGGACTCAATATTTATACATGTTTGTGTATTTTTTCTTTTCATTTATTCTTTCTAATTCTTTTTATATATAGGAATTTTACCATACAAAACATAAATCATAAAATCATTGTAATCTTGTTAAAATATTATTAATTTTTATTAATATTTTATAAAAATTACAAAGATTATTCTTATTTTTTTTATTATTATTTTAATCTATATAGTCTTAACACTATTGTAACAAATTTGACCATATGTACACTTATCTAAAATCAATGTTAATATTCATAATGTTTAATTGTACACAAAAATCAAATCATATCTATGATATATATTTTACAATATATATTAATGAATTGTAGTTCTTAGACATTTATATATTAACATCTTATCTAATTTATATATATATATATATATATATATATATATTTATTTAAAAGTTCAAAATAATACCATCAAAGTATTCTTATACTCAAAAGAGAATACAAGCAATTACAATTTTTAAACTCTTTAATTTGATAAAATTAATAAATCCTTTTTTAATTGGTTTTATACTTTGAAGAATCAGTGTAAAAACCACAAGAAGAAAAGATTAGGTAGAGCACATTTTTTCAACTCTCAAGTTATTTCTTTATTATCTCTCAAGTTTTGCAGTAGATCCAATTCAAAGAGTTGATTTTTACAAAAATTCAAGAAGTAGTAAAATCAATTCATAAAATTAAATATTTAAAAAAAATCCAATATATTTTTTTTATATATTTTTAATGATTTTTAGAATCAAAGTATAAATCACACATTTGAATTTACAATAAGAAATAATTTGATCTAATTCGGGACTTTTTCTTACTTTGTACAATCTCCAAAAATCAAGACTTTTAAAATAAATAAATAATTCTTCACCAAGCAATAAAAACTTAGTAAGAATTTTATAAAATTACCTTTCAGAATATCTTTCAAAATGGGCTTCTACATATAAAATCCCTTATTATTATCATAAGAATTATCAGAGTGTCGCTGAGCCTCAAACATGAATTTGGTGGCTCTAGGTTTGGTAGAACTTTGATATGCGAGTACTTAATCGATGTCATCAATTGTAGTCAGGGACCTCAGTTTCTGCAAAACAAAATGCGAATGAAACGAATCTGTGAAGATTCAGTCTACAGTGACTTTTGACATGAAAGGGAAGAATAAGGATAAGTGGTGTTAGTTGCAAGCTGATACTGAAGCTCTCTTCAACTTACTTGAAGAAATTGCTGAGGGTTATCCAAGCTTGTCGACCCAATAATCACCTCTCGTTTAAGTTGTGCTGTCAGCTTACGCATTGTTCGAAGCTTCACAACATCAAATGAGTAATATATAAGCAAAGATAAAATAACGTTGATCAAAAGTCATGTTTGCTTCGCCACAGTGCATTCTATGGATTCTTCTGTCACTAATCGGTTGTTGTGGCATCTGTGGGTTATATGCTTTATTCTAAAAGGTACGAGAGTATTTAAATGCTTGTGTTATACAGTGGTAATACCATTCGACAAAGAAGCCTTGATTAAGTACCTCAGATCGTGTCATTCCACCCACGATAAATACAAAAATCCGCGTTCCAGTTATGGTCGGTTCATTCGTTGAACTACCGGAGTCACTGGCAAAAGTTTTTCATCAAAGCTGTTGAGATTAAGAAAGAAATTCTGAAATTTCAAGTTTTTTTACCTACGTTGATGCAAAGTAGGTGAAGAAAGAATTTTTCCAACTGTATTTGAGAAACACGTATACCTGGATGCAGATCCAACAGATATTTTTCCCGCAGCTGCCCAGTTGTATCGAATTGTGCGAACAGAATGCGGCTTTTTAAGTGGAACAGCTGATGCAGGTTGGCCAGTAACCGAAGCTTCTCCTACAAGAGATACAGGCAATTTAACATAAGGGTATTGCTCCTTGGGTAGTCCATTTTTCCCCAGTTCTGCAACTACATCCTGCGCCCGTCCACAACACGCAGAGCGGAAGATTGCTAAGTTACTACAGAGAAAAATTAAAATTAGAAATACAGTTTTTGATCCATCTTCAACATAGCGCACACCCTTGGATTCATTGAATTTCTCATGGTGATCATGAGGCCAAGGGAAAGTCCTGGGCAAACTAGAACCTCGACAGTCTTACCTCTATGAGTGGGTAGAAGCGTGACAATTGCCACCCCATCTCATCTTGATTCTTCTCCTTCCTAGTTGGTCGGATGCTCTGCTTGACATGACAACCAAGTATTGTCAGTGCATCGAGATCCATAGCGAAAAGGACACGCTCGATATAGAGAGCCATGAATGTCAATGTCCACGGCTATCTTTCTGCTAAGCTAACCAGCAATTCAGTCGAGTTTTGAAGAAAAGCAATAATTTCTTTTTCCTACAAGAACCAGAAGTACCAGTGCTTACTTACCACCTTGCGCGGTCGAAATTGAAGTGAAAAACCTTCTGGCTGCTTCTTAGATAGAGACACTCCAAGACATTCTAAATTTGTGATAGTATTCATATCTTCGCCGCTCAGTTTTGCTAACTGCATCATATTTAACAATGAGTACGCCTTCAGAGAAAAAACTTGATCACGGCTAAGTTTACAAATTGAACGAGCTGGAAATCCTTCCCACTGATTGGAGCATTGCGAGATACGCTGATGGACTGTGAGCACTTCCACCTGGTTCAGTTTCTGTGGTCCCTAACAAGAAAACTGAAAATAAGAAATTAACAATACCTTCGTCCATTGGAGGCGTTTGGCTGTGTCCAACTTGTCAGGATGTGTTGCGGCATAAATCAGTAAAAGCCTCAATTTATTATCTTGGGACATCCCCTGCATTAATTAATAGAAAATAAGTTGGTTAATCATCTCTTGGAAACTGCATGATGAACATAGCGCGCGTTGTCATATAGAGGCATCTCTCCGTAACTCTTTTGAATCGCTCTTCAAAAGTGGTTTTCTGTTTTTACAAATTGACGAAGTATGAGCGAAAGTTTTTCACTCCCAAGAGCAAATAGTAAGGAACTTTTAGGGGTGTGCCTGCTTGGAATCGATCATGCTAAGAATATCCTTGCTTGTTGCCTCTCCATACACTAAGTCCTGCTCCAGTTTTCCGATGTCATTCAAGCCATCCTTCTTTATCTGGTCATTTATTGTTGTTGCTATCTGTGCACGTTTCTACAGTTTCATTAGCATCTTTAGGAGCTTACAGATTACCGATCATAAACTTACACTTGTGACAGAGATCAATGAAGGACTAAATAGTCTGACTTCCAACTAGAGCAGAGGAATTATAAGGTAAAGTGGAAACGTTCAACAAGATAATTCTAAGACTATATCCTGCCAGCTGTACTCAGGCCCGTGTGTTGGCACTTGGATCAAACTTCCAATACATGTTACGTTTATGGTATTAATGAATAGTACATGCCATTGGATGGAATAATTTTCCGAGGCGAACATTCTTTTAATTCTTTCACAATGAAGTTTTACATTAAACATGTAATATTCGACATCTAACATACGTGGCTTAAAATCAAATTGATCTTTCAAGGGTTTATTTTGAGGATACTATGACGCAGCAGCAACAGATTTCAGTCCTGACCACAGTTCTGAAAAATAATTCCACCCGACCTCCAGTTCAAGATTGTCTCACATGAATGTGCAAGCTAAGCTTGTCGATTTGATCTTGAAACTGAGGTAAAGCTTGAACAAGTTTCTGCATTTCTTTAGTGGATATTTCTTGTCCTTCTCTGCCAGTATCCCCTCCAAAATAGATGTTAAGAACACCAACCATACTGCACCTAATGCCCCACACGGGACTGCAAGAAGTCTTTGAACTAAAATAAAAACTATTGCGGAGATCAGGGTGACATTCTGAAATCTATACTAAAGGTGTGCCGCTGTCCAACTGGCACCGCATAAGCTCAGACAAAGAGGACGAAGGAAATATTTCTTTACTTGTTGTTCAAACGAAGTTGGGCTGCTTCGTTTTTTTTACCGAATTCTTGCATTTTTTCTGTCAGTTGTAAACTTGCCTGCGTCACAAGTTGCGAAGAACTAAGCTAGTATGTAAATAAATGTAGAAATCGAAATCTACGGCAATAAGTCATAAAATCCAGGCTTAACTCACATCAGCAATGTGGAGATCTCGTATTTCCATCCAGATAGGATCATTGTCTGCAAGAAGGACTTCTTTACGCTCTTTCTTGCCAGAGCTTGTGGTAACCTGTACCAAGAACAAAAAAGTCCAGGAGGTTGTAGTGCAAAATCATGACATTCCGATTCGAACATTCACAAGACTTGAACACTGAATCATCTACAATCTTCCACATAACTACTTTCATAACTAACGCGTTGGATGCAGCTCGTAATTTGTGAAAGCGGATCTCATGAAAGTCTCCTCGAAAGGCATGCTCTCGGGAACCTTAAAAGAAAAATCATATATCAAGAATTAACTCTTCAGTGTGCACCAACTACAATTTAATGATTTAAAATTTTCCTGTGCTCTAATGATATAAATCTGGGATTTCACGAGCAACGAAGAAGATGTTGGACATAGGGCTACCTCATACGTATATTTGCTGCCATCAATATCCAGAAGATCGTTGCACATAGCATCATAGGTCCACTCGTGCATAATCGGTGCGACCTATCATCAACCAGGTTTATTACTTTAATCCAGAGAGACTGATAATTGACACCGATACAAATGGTACTAGTAGACCGATAATTTTCATAGTTATCTTGAAGTTGCTCCAACACTACAACCCAAAGTTGCTTACAGGGTCAATTCTTCGGTCAACAATAACAAGCTCACAGGTCTCCGCAATAGGAAAGTCACTTAAGGTAGCCTTGAACTTCATGAGACAATCCCACAATGCAGCAGCAAGCCTGGTAGGTACAAAATCACGAGCTGTGACCTTACTGTCGGAACCTCCCGCATGTGGATTAGGTGCACGGTAACGCACATGTGGAAACTCCTGCCATCACCAGATCTGAGAGACTGTTAAACAAATGGATTCTGCAATACAGGAACATGAATCCGCAATAAGGACTTTCGAGGATTGCATTTGTGCTATTCTACTGGTTAGAGAATTCGAAATAGTCAAACCTAGCTAACCTTCAGAGAAGCAAAAACTGTTGAGAGACGTATAGCCATACTTTCAACACAGAGTTCATAATCGCGTGAATCCGCGCCATGATCTCCAAATAGATGTTCCAGAGCTTTGTCATGATCTGTTGTAAATCCCTAGAGTAACTTCAAAATGATTTGGTTACAATATACAAAATCTCTGTTCAATCATTCGCATAAGAAAACTTCAAATTCAACGCGGAAACCGATCACTCATGAGAAACCAATTTGCCACATAATGGAATACAAATACGTGCGTCTCTTTAGATTCTGCATTCCTCTCAAAAGCTTTAAAACCTGTACCCTTGCAGCTTCTCGATCATAATCACAATTCATTTTCATAACATTGCATCACACAAAATCATATTTCCTCGTAATTTCTATGTCTTGGATGAGTACCTGCGTGTCGATTGTCAGAAACTCCACGTTCACCTGCACTGTAAACGACAATCTCACCATCAGAAAGACCTGTCCTGGCAACTGTCAGAAACATTATTTGCATGAAATTAAAATTCCATTAAGCTTCCTGATCTACACAAAAAGCCAAAAGAAAGCAATGATGTAATAGAATTTTTACCTCTCGAAGAACTGCAACCCTAGCCAGAACCGATGCTTCACTTTTTATGGTATTGAGCAAATTACGAGGAACAGGCGAACTGAAAAACACGAATGCCCTGCAATGAAAGTAATTGAACAGTTAGCATAAGAAAACCAGAGAAAACAGTCGGAGTTTCTACATTTAATCATGACCAGAGGTTCCACTAAATAACGAGCATGATTTGCTTTACACAACTGAAAATCATAGATGCATTTTCGCAAAGGACCTGAACCTCACCTTTTATATCTCGGTGCTTTTCCAGACATATCCCCAATGAGAGACTCCACACTGCAACCACACACAAGCATCTATCATTAATCGTAATTTACATCAGACTCCGATGAACAAACTTTACAACCTCGCATAATAGATTCAAGGCATAGGTCCATCAATGCCATCTGACTATCCACATGTGCAAATTTGAATTCAAATTTTGCAACGGGTCATGGGTGCGAACACACTTGTTTTGAGACGGCTGTATAAAGTACACTGCATCAAGAGCCGGTAACGGTTGCCTGCTTTTTCCTATATTTTCTACCACTGCAGAAGAGCACAGACAATGAAAATGGATGTTATCATAGTTGGATTTCTTACAAATCCTAAGTAATTCGGTATGATGTAATTCAGTCAGGTTTCCATGATCAAGCACGCAGATCAAAGAATGATGTGTACGAAGCTAAAACCCTGAAATGATGTGTTCTAAGGCAAGAGGCATCAATCAGGCACACACGAGTACAAAACCCGGTGATTGACCTCGCCGTTTTTGACCGGAAGTGAGTAGAAATCATCAAACAAGAGCACACATGGAAGCTTAGAGCAAGGACAACGTACAGGAGATGCCCTCCTCTGTAATCTCTGTCATTTTGCACGAAGACGACATCACCTTCACAGTTATTTCGTCCATCACCAGCACCTGGAGGAGACATTTGGTTGCTCAACCTCAGCACTTCAGGCATGAATGATTTATCCTCCGAAGCCAGCAGTATAGCAACGAAAACTTGAATATTATTGCATGCAAAGGAGAATTCTAGTCCTGTGAGATCCAGGTAGGTCCCAAGTGGTGTACCAATCGAATACAAATTTTGGGACGCACCAAGATTTAATAGCGCTGTTCGCGTATCTACTACTTTTCCTGTGGTGATGATTCAAAAAAGACCAAAATACTCAAATAGTCGAAGAGCCTCATACCTTCCACACTGTCGACTGTTTAGTTGTTCTAACGGTGTGCAGCATATCTTTCAGAAGTCCTGAACATGCACATTGTCAGGATACTTGCAATCGTTCATTACGAAGATCTTCCTTGGGTATTTTGATGAAAACTGACTTCATGACACGCGTTTTGTTCTTACTAATTGCTCAACATCCAACAGTATTCGTCAGGTTCCACGATTACACATTCGATTGAAGATGACAGTTTGTACACACTACTCAAAAGAACTGCTCAGAAACCTGAGAGAAAAGAGCTGGAGTGACAGATACAGGAACTTCTCTGCTTGAAAAAACGGACGAAGGAGGTGCAGTGACGCTCTAAGTAACTACGTCATGTCAGGGAAGAAATATCAGGTGATATTAAAAGCCTCTGCACAACTCAAAGCCAGCAAGATCATTGAAAATATATCAAAGTATCATCGTATCAAAGTATATGCAAAGAACTGTGGAGTTGGAACTCACTGTCATGCAAAATCTGCTTAAACGATCGATAAACACTTCGCGAAGAACTCAAGTCTGCCATGAGTTATTTTCATCAACCTCTCCCAAATCCTTTTAGTGCATGATTGAGCCACCATCCAGCAGCAAAATCGATTTCATTCGCTTCTCAAAATTTCAAACTATCATTTGCTCCTGATCTTACCAATAACCACACGACAGTTACTGAAACCCGCTACATGCTTCACCTTTCTGTGAACAGCAGCTACCTCCAGTTGTATTCGGGACTCAGGTCGAAGACGATACCAAAGTCCTATTCACGTTACTATTCTGAACTGATGAGAGCGCAATCGTCAACGTCAAACAGTTCAGAAAACCTCGAAACGCCTAAAATAAGAATGTGAATCATCGTCATTACCCTCAAACCCTAATCATGAAGCAATGTACAGTAAACTTCTGTGTTCATCCACCGCATGTCCATCGTTAATATCCACGCCCTACAAACTTATCACAAACTGGGGCTTGGACAAGGGCCTCGAAACGGAAAGATGGAATAACAAGACATAAACGTCCCTCCAAGTGTAAACATTAAGATGTGCACTAAGCACCCGCGAGTTCACATCAGTGGTTACTTACTGTTCTGTGCATTTAGGTCATAAGGTTTGTCCCTGTAGTCCAACCACACGGAGGCAGAAGATATGGCGACTGCATGACCCATCCTACCATGCAGTGAATTTCCCCATTTATTCTCCGGTTCAAAGTTCGGCGCTTTCGACGAAAAGGCAACCATGGTACGTAACACCTTGTTTTTTATTGCTGCAAGTTCTAACCAAGTCGGGTTTCTTTTTCAACACAAACTGTGACAATAGGTTAACTTTCACAAATTCTAAGCAACTTTCTGTGTCTGTGAAGGTACGAGTGGAAGAAATGCATTTGAGAATAATCCTATCAGAGACTGATTACAAGTTAAAAATTTGTCTAACTGGATACATTGAACCTTAGTATTATTGGAAACTGAATCTACTAGTTATGAAAAAGAAGCTTCATTGAATGTGACAAACATGATGACGTGCTTAACAAAAGATCATATCTCATGGACTGTTTGTGCAGGCTGAGTGTCTGACGTGGAAGGACCTTTCTGAAGCTACGATACTTGAGATATTAGAACCGAAAGAAACAAGCGAAGTTCGAAGGTACAAACCAGCTTGCTCAAAGTATCATGACTTCCTGGTACAGCACACCTGCTTCATCTGTAAAGACCTATTTCTTCCAAACATGTATTCAGATGAAACATCCAAGTTGTGACAGGAATGTAAGAGACGCATTCCAAATTCAGGACGATGGAGACGACCTCGCAGAAATTCTTATCGATTTATATTATAATACTATCATGTATCCTTTACACTCCAAAAAACTAATATAAGCTAAATTCAACAATCCTTGACAAATTAATCCTTGAGGGAATCCGTTCATATTATACCTCGACATATTGCAGCAATTCGTCAAGCTCCGGAGTCCACAACTTACCACAACTCTAATGAGAAATGTGATAATGAGCATACTTTGCGAGACCAGCAACTTGCATGCTGTACACCTAAACGTTTTCTCCTTCATGAGCATTGTAATTAAACGTGAGCTTTTCAATTCAGCTCGTGAAACTTAGCAGGGTGTCAAACAGATTTGCACAAGACCGGAAATTCTCAATTGAGAAAATTTCGACTCTAGTTTCAATCGTGAAAGTCATCCACGAGCAATCTACGGGTACGTGATTTCCTAAACTAGGCAGATAGACAGAAAAATGGCTACCAGTTTCACACAATGAAACAGCAGTTACAGCATATTCTAAAGATGCTCTAGGTTCTACTTTCATTACCTAAGCACAGCATGCAAAGAAACGCTGCCTTTGCTAATCACGCTAATATCTTGCAGTCGGACGCATGCCAATGAATAAGAGTTGGGAAAAAACAAAAAAAATTCTCCTGACGCACAGTGTTCAAAGACCCCCGTTCTCTGTCTCCGTTTTCTCCATAGCAGACCTGCAGGCGATCACTCATTATTTGCTTCATACGTCAGTTTCCCAACCTGTTCATTTTATATAAAGTAACTTCCTGTCACACTTACGTGCATTGTCAGAACTCCAGGATCCGCTTATGCCAAGTGTGATTAAATGAGCATACTCAGTTACTAATCATCCACAATCAAGCGAGTGTTTACCTTACGAGAAGGCTGTCTACAAGTCAGATGTATTAATTGTATACACCGTCCACAATCAACTTCGTTTTCAGGACAAAAACAGCAGTCCATGCTAAACCATGGTTGGCATTACTGCTGTAGCTATCAAGTGGGTGTGATGGCAAGTTTCTAAAAGACCTGCCTGCTATCCTCTTCTACCCAAAAAAATTGCATTAGGCGCAGTGCATAGTTCGGATTTGTTGACAGTCGGACATGTGCATTCAGATATTTCAGACACTACAAAATGTACCAGTACGCATTCATGCCTACATTTATACTGAACATTGAGACACTGGAGACTAGCAATTTTGTGGAAGTAGCGCCACTTGTAAGAGCACTTAAGGGTGCATTGACGCAAGACGAAAAAGATGTAGAAGATGAACAAGTGAAGAAACGAGACGAGGTTTGTGATACGTTCTCCTTATTCTAACAGTGAAATAGGGATAGTTGAAACTATCCGAGTTGTTGTCAATGACGTCACGCGAAAGGGATTTGAAGAGGCAGGATTACTTCTCAAATCGCGGAGATTTCGGTTTGTACATGTGTAAAATAATGTGAAACAGGAGGAAATGGCTCGAATTGCAGAAGAAGAAAGGATTACTATGGAGGAAGAGCGTCAACGTGAGATAAATGCGGCTTACTTAGGTCTCAATCCAAAACCGATGTACACCCTAATAAATGAAATTTCTATTTCAAATGAAACGTCAAGGTAAAAACTAAAGTCTCATTCAGAGGTAACAGTTGGATCGTACCCTGAGTAGACTTTTTTGCAACAGTTTCTCGAGTGATCTGTACTAAAACTAACAACTCTGTTTCACAGCCGCGATACCGGCTGACATTACGCAAAAAGTTAATGACGCACTAACAAAACGTCTGGAGATATTGAAGAAAGATCTTGACGAGCAAATACATGCTATCGAGGACAAGGTCATTCAGAAGATGACAACCACAAACGCGGGGCGCCCAAGTCAGATCAGTCAGCCGCCACCAGGATCACAACCCCAGCATAAAGCCAAAGCATCCAAGGGACTGTCCACAAAGAAGCCATAACAGTAACGAAAATATATAACAGTGCCCAGAAAACCTTCTTGTAGACTGGAACATTCTGCTTACCCAATCAATGCAATGATCAACAGTTGGACAAAAATTAGGTTCCCAAACATGTTGTCAAAACCGTGAGGCAACATATTGCATGAAAAAAATGAAAGATAGACAAGCACTTACTCTAAGAAAGTGAGAAAGAAAAAAAAAAATTATTTACAATTTTTTCATATAATAAAACATGGTGAACAACCAAGTATTACCTGAGGAGTTAATATTCATGCACTGTAAATAGAATAGCGCAAGCGGTTAGCAACCGATCGAAACAATTTGAGAGCGCATGACAACTGTAATGAAGACGATCGCAGCCCTAAGCCCACAATCCAATGACGGACATGCAACCAACTCCAAGGAATAGAGCGAGAAACGCTCCGACTTGCAACTTCCTGTTGCAGCGCATGCGCTTGCTGAGGAAGTCAGCAGCGATGAGGTCCACCAAAGACATGTAAATGAGGATACCCCCCGACACGGAACCGAAAACACCTTGCACAATCAACGCCTGTGTACTGTTCTCATTGTAGGATGAGGCGATGCCCATTCCAATTGCGATGCCGAGCGGAGTGGTAATGGCGAAGATAAGGCCCATGCTCAGGGATGTGACACTACGAAAGCCAGCTTGCACAACGCATCCTCCAAGGGCAACGCCCTCAAAAAACTGGTGAAATGTGAGTGCAGCAAACAGTGGTCTTATCACGCATGGGCTATTGGATACTCCCACTGTGACGCCGATGATGATGGAGTGCGCAGCGATGCCAAACTCAAAGACCTGAGGGTAAAGCAGTATACAACATATTGTAATTAGAAGCCATTTCTGATAGGGGCTATGCTGGAAAATTTCATAATAATTGGTATGCACTACCGCAGTTCATCAGAAAAAGGGGTACAGAGACTCACTTGTGCAACAACAATATGTCGGATATTGGTGAAAACACTGTCCTCTTCGTGCTCATGAACATGAGGATGGGGCGTGACTAAACCAGGTGCCTGCTTCTCAATTGCTTCAGAAGCGTCTACGACTTTGTCAACCCCTCCGTGTTGCATGACGTGACGACTCATGTAAAATTCCGTAGCTACGATATCCATAACCAGTGTGGCTAGAATAGCCAACATGGCAATGAACTCTGACCATACGAATTTTCCCCATGGCTTTTCTGGAAGACAGGAACTTGTTAGGGCACCCGACCCAGCGGGCAGCATGTGTACGAATGCAGTCGCCAGAATTACTCCAGCTGCAAAGGCTTTCATGATAAAAAAAGCAATTCCATCCGATCTGAGAAACCTGTTTCGTCGACCAATGAGAGGAATCAAGACGCCCAGCATACTCGCAATGAAGATCACTGCAATTGCACCTCCCTTCAAGTGCGCCGCACCTACCTTGTCATAGCAGGAATCAGCCTCTGCCGGCCCGCAAGCTGACGCTGCTTCCGACATCTTGAAAAGAACGGTTGTGAGTTATCCCGACTGCACATACATAGAGACATGACCTTCGTAGTGTCAAAGTCTGTTTGAAGTCAAGACAATCAAAGCAGGAAGCTGAAACAGCACTAAGATGAAACAGATATCATGGCCCGGAAGTGAGTTTCAGCGTATCCTTTTGCGAAATGCCGGATGACAGCATAAATTCACAAACCTACTCCGACACTAACTGATACTGTCTCGTATGGGACGCTCTCATGTCTTTTTAGGAATAACTTTGGACGAAGCATAACGTCGCAGACGTGGCAGCACCACTTTAGCAAACTTCTGATACTTTAAAACACAGGTAGCAGGGTTACATCGTCATTCAGTGTTCGTGGTCATAAAGAATGTAAGGGAAGAATTGTTAAAGATAAAAGTTCGATGCCAAATTTCAGCACTTGAACTGTGCTAAAATAAAGATCATCACACAGAGGCTTTCATGGAGAGAAAAGCGACAACCTACCACTTGTAATCACCACTCAATGTCACACAACTCTGACAACGGTGTATCGACTTCCAAACTCGGTACCTTGCATTAACATGCAGCACGATACAATAGCAGCACGATAACACACGGATCAGCCACAACTGAATCCAGCATCGAGACTACTCCGCTACTCTCACTTGAGAATACGCTGCATCAACAAGCACCCCAACCCGCATTTCAATCTATGATTCAACCACCCACATTTCGTCAATTCCGCCTATAGCATCATCAAACACAGACGCTACATTCCTTGACCGTGGCCGGCACAAACCTGGACGGCAATCGACGTTTGAAGAATGAGAGCCCCACAGTTCCAAAAACCAAATACTCGGCTTGAGAGCGGGTAAAATTCTTTAAGCACATCTGACGTCGCAATGCCCGCAATCGCACCTTGTTTCTTCACACATCAAAGGGTCAGCAAGCAGCAGCGTATGTCGTCATACACATCGATACGCCAACACTCCAACCACTCTCCGACGCCATTGCACTGTCTGGCCCACCGCAAAAACCCAGCAGGCTCCAATCACACGACGCACAAAGCCTACTTTGTCTGCGTGCCAACCTAACCTCGAGCCTACGATGACCACATCCCCCGGATTGCTCTTCCACTGGGAATCACGACCGCATCTGGCCCCGACTCTAATTCAGCACACGCCACTTCCGGGCTGCTTCTGTAGATCTCGGCGTTCAAACCCGTCCTGGCTTCGGGGGAATGAGCACATTAACCTTTGACAACTCGCTCAACCCACTGCGAGCTCCGGTTAAGGGAAGCTCCCACTCGGGCCGACACCACTAAACATAGACAATGGGCCCTCCTCCTGAATGAATCAAGAGGTGCGATGAGCACATAGCCTCCCTCCTCCTCTGTGACGCACTCGCGCCGCGTCTGGCGGCCGGGAAATCAATTCGTTTAGTTGTGCATGTCGATCGATTGCTGCCAACTCGAATCAGATCCAGGGAAGATATATATATATATATATTTATATGCCTGAGGGTGCTTACAAGTGGGTAATTTAATGGAAGGGATGAATGATGTGGCTTCTGTGTTAATTCAGCTTGGAGTAAGGTGTGAACGGGGACTGTAGCCTACCTCGTCATCCTTCTGACAGAAATTGGTTATCGATCGTTTCACCATGACTCCTGATGGCGAAAAAAACCCTAAGGGAATTTCCTCAGTTGTCCTTGAGAAGAAAAATGCTGCCTCCAATCCCTCAAAGTCTCTCCCATTATGTTCATGACGGCTGGCACGCCTATGCCTCTCCTGAGGTAGATTCAGTCGAAGACAAGGGGTACAACTCTCGCCACGAGGGGGTTGGGAAAACCCCTTGCACCCCGTGTGGTCATCATGTCGACATTGCTCTCGTGAACCGACGGACGGACGGGCGGACGGGCGAAGGGACCCGGCGTCCCTATCCGTGCCCGCGCCCGTGCTGCATCCTGCCCGATTGACTTTCATCCGGCCCAAGCCCTCACCTGACCTGTATCCTTCCGCCACATCGCGACGGATTGTTCGTTCACACGGACGGACGGCACTACGGAGTCCTCCGGCGGCAAAAGATTAGGGCTGTCGGGGCCTGTAGTATGTGAAACTGTTTGATACCAAGCTGTTTTTCGACTGCCACGACGGAATGGCGCTACAGTTTCGCACATGGCGTGGTAGAGGAGGTGGAATGAGCTCATGGCTTCGTGTGGATCTGAGCCTCGCTGATTCGCAGCGTCGGACCGTGTCTTTCTGGCTCTCCTGGGCATCTTCGTCGCACGGACACCAGCTACCGGAGGACGAGGGCTTCGGGGGCCTCACAGGCGTACAAGTGATCTATCTCAGTGCTTTTGCTTCCTTTTATGGTTCTGCCCTTAGTTCGCTCTGATTCCCACTGACGACTGATTCCATTCTTTATAATGATTTTATATTTCGTAATGTTATCATCACTTTTATTCTGTAGAAATGTGCTTTGTCATCAGTCTAGAATACGTTCCTTTTCATGCTTTTGTAATGAAGTTAAATCGTGTTCAAAAAATAATCGTACTTTTATTATCTTTCGGTTTATTTTATTCATCGTATGATTACAATTTAGTGTAAAATGCACTTCAAATCTTTGTGGTCAATCAGCGTGGATTTCATAGTTTAAGATTATTACGTAGTACAAGTTTCATATTTATTAAAAGATATATAATAATAGTATTATTATTATTGTCATCATCATCATCATCATCATCATTGTTCTTACATATTTTATCATACATACAAGTTTGAGCGTTATGATCTTCAGCTCCAAGCATGTATTGATTTTAAAATTTTATTTTTGTAAACTAAAATAATGATAATATTAAAATAAATATACACATATACACAGGGAGGTCATTTCTTTTTAAAAAAGGTGGATATTGTGATATATGCCTTTCTCATTTCGACATTGATTTCAAAGGATGTAAGCACTTATATCAAATTTCATCTAACTACCTCTAAGAGATGGTTGTATCAAATATCCACCTCTTATATCAAAAAAGATCAGCAGAATTTCTTTGCGAGACTCTGAGACTACGAATCAATTATGCAGCGAGTGCTTTATCTAGTGAATTGAATAAGCTGAGGGTGTTTACATGGAGAGAACGACAAATTATAGCAGGGGATGCCATGATTACCAGCTAGGACCAGGAAGATGGTGCCGCACCAGATGTTGGCAACATTTCAAGAGAATGTGTATGATGTGAGAACGGAGGGCGTTATTGTGTAGAAGAAGAAGGCACATGTGTAGGATTAGAGCCTCATGTTTTATTTTGTTGTGGTGACTACAATGCAGGGGATGCACTTGCAAGTCTACAAGAGCTCGTTCCTTGCTTGACCAACTATCTGACTAACTCAAAAATGATAATACTGTTTGTTCCCTAATAACAAATCCATTGTCAAAAACCATTTTAGGATTTGATGATTTGTTTGTCCAACTACCCTTCTATTGCCCTTTTATTGTTTATTATTTCTTAATTCTTATTAGTTAATTAGATGATTATAAAGATATGATTGATTCCATGAAAGAAAATAAAGACATTGTGGATTGGAAACAAACCAACAAACATGTATATAAAAATTTGAAAGATGCAGAGGAAGAAAACCAAACAGAAGAAAGGATACAATGTAGCTAATGTTTTTGTGCAAGTAATTACAAAATTTGATGTTTTAAATTTAAAATGTTTAAATTAGAGCATATTAACAACATTTTTGAGGTGATATAAATTAGTTTCTTAGATTGGCAAGGGCTTATATTAAATGTTGACCACTACTGATATCAACACTAATTTAAAAAGTTATAGAAGCTTACATAATTTTTGAGGTTTTAAGTTTGTCCCCTCTCTATTGTAAACATATACATGAAGATTAAATTAAAAAATGAACAATGTTAAATACAAATCATCTATATAATTAATTTTAAAACTTAAAACAATGAATATATTTAAGAGAATTATTCCATTATAAGAAATGGTGACTTAGTTATACTCTATAGTAAACAAATCTTAATTTCTACTCAATTTTTGCAACATTTGAGATAATATTTTCAACAAATAAAATTTAATTTATTAAAAATAATTATAATTATAATTATAAAATTCAAGAAAATATCATATATATAAATACATTTTGTATAATTTTTAAATTCAATAGTTATAAATTTTATAAATTATAAAAAATTATAAAATTTCATAATTATTAGGTAATCATATATATTCTTTTAAATATTATTATCCAAAAGTATTAGCTATTTTTATAATTATATAAGTTATTTTTTATCTTTTTTTATACTTAACCTAATTCAAATGTAACTATATATATATATATATATATATATATATATATTTTAATATATTACTTTAGAAATTTCAAGTCTTTCTTCTAGTCAAAATCAATTAATCTAAACTGCAACTACAGAGCATTTGTAATACAATTTGTGATCAACAATGTCATAGATGTAATTACATGTAGCCAATTATTATTAGTGATTGCAAACATTGTAGAATTTCATGAATAAACAAATTATTATTTAATTTTTATGCAACTTATAAGGATAAATTTTATCCTTTAATACAAATAATAAGATAGTACTAATTAAGAATTGCTTGTAATTGGTGGTGAGAAGTGGAACAAAGAAATAATAAGAAAAAAAGAAGAACAAACACAAAAAAAAGTGAAAGAATTGCATTCAAACAATTACACATTTTAAAATTAAGTCGTACTTTGTTCATTAGTTTTTTACCTAATAAAAATAAAAAGTACAAAATAAAATTTATATTTCTATATAGATAATTTTATTATCTTCTAAATAATATACAAAATATGTAAATTCAACTTACTTTGAGTAAGTTATGAAGGTTTAAAGATAGCAAGTAAACAATTAAAAAATTATATGAAAGTATTTTATGCCATATTAAAAAATTATATTAAAGAGTTTTTGACCTAACTATGGTCTTTAAAAATATCCAATCAGCATAGGAACCTTACATGGCCTTCAAATCTTGCTCCATTCCTTCATTATAGCTCCCAAGGTGGTAAAACTCAATTTCACCAAAATCTTATAAATCTCTCTAAAAATTCCTAAAATATTTTAGATAAGTTTTAAATAAATTTCAAATATTCTTATCATATTTTTACAATTCTAAAATTAATTTTTTATATTAATAAAATTAATTTAAATCAATAAAAAATATTATTTTTTATAAAATTAACTAAAATGACATAGGTTCTTTTTTATGCTTTTTCTAACTACTAACCAATATTAATAGGTTTTTTTAATAAATAATACATATAGATAGAATGTCACTATAGATATTGGTCTCAATCACTAATTATTAGTATTTAACAATAAGTAAAAGTACTAATCCAAGTAAGATAGCAGCCTCTAAGATTTACTAAGATTCTATTTTTGTAATTTTTCTTCTAATAAAAATTTTATAACTTATAAATAATTTTAAATTCTAATAAATATTTTAGTAATGAAAAAGACTCTCTAATTTTAATATTTTTTTATACCAAAATGACTTAAATCTATGTTTTTAACTAGTCCATCAATTAAAATCTATTGATGGAATTCACACAACTTGTACTAAAAGAAACAAGACAATAGAAACATTCATTTAGCAATGTAGCTTGTAGAAGACAATGCATCCTTGATCACATTCTTTTATTGATACTCTAAAGAAAATTCTATATGAATGTATTATACAAAACACTTAATAAATATATAATCAACAAAATTTTAGATATTTCTATGAATATTTTTCCATGAAGAGCATACATTAGACTAATTAAACTAATCATCAAAGTTTAATTAAGCAATGACCATTAACACACAAAAATAGATGAGTATGATATAAATAAAAGCGTGTTGAAACCACACTCAATTTAAAATCGAAAAATTTCAATTGATTTGAATATACAACCAAAAGCATCATTGAAAAATGATGTGAAAAATAATTTTATGTATACAAAATAAACATATAATTACCATGACATTCTTATTAAAATCATAGAAGTTATTTTATTTTATTTTATTTTAACAATAATATAAAATAAAGTTATAAATTTTAAAATTTTTAAAAATATATATTTTTAAAAAAATATTATTTGAAATATTAATTAAGTGATATAAGAAAAGCTAAAAATATGAATTTAAGGATATAAATTAGATTTAATATAATTTCATATAAAAGATTGTATAATACTATTCTAAAATATAAAAATTTAAATATAATAGATAATATATATATATATATATATATAT